TTCTATCCTGTCAAATATTTACTATAAGCGATAAACACTTGAATATATATGATTCCAACACGTGAAATGTGTACAAGGAACTGAAATAAATCTCAAATTATATAAATAAAATAAACAAACTATAATGAGTTATTCGACAAGTTAGGTTCCAAAAAAAAAAAAAAAAAAAATGACTGTTTCATGTAGTAAAAAATATTTTTTCCAAACCTGAAATGTCTAAAAGAAAAAGTAATAAATTATGCCTATCAGTAGGTTATTGTGGACTGACTGAATGGTAAATAATGAACTCTTTTAAATCAGTTGTAAAATCAATTTTCGTTTACCGAAATGACAGACTACTATTAAAATTAAAATAAACGGTAAATTAATAATAATAATAATTATTATTATAGAAACACAATGTGACGGTCGGAAAAGGGAGGAAAAGCAGTTAAATACAAATAATAATATTTTTAAATAAATAAACAAATGACAAGTATGTATTAAAAAGACCGTGAGTAAATCGGTATAGTTAGCCAGTAGACCGCAGTGATTGCGAGGTTTGTAAATGTTGTGTAATACGGAGGTGACGGTAATTATGAACATGTTATAATAATAACGTAGTTAGTATAATAATAAATGGTAACTGATGGTTAACACAACGATTTTGGTAAAAAATAATACGGAAAAGCACACAACAGGAATCACGAAGTGCATAAACACGAGTTATCGGACGACAAACAAAAACCCACACGCGGTCTGTCCACGCTATCAAAACCATGTGAACAAACATATTGATCATTTCAAAATATCGGAGAGCGATCACGAGTCATTATCTTTTGAAAAGGGTTTTTCTTCGGTTTTTTGTCTTTTTTAAGACCACTTTGGTATTGACGAACCATTTTCATCGTTGATGTTGAGCAGAACGTCGCGGAGAATAATGTTTTACTACACGCGTTATTACGACGAAGACAAACTGGAAATGTATTGTAGCTTTAAAATATTGTTAGGAAAAATAAAATAATTCTAAACAGCACTGTACCGAGATAGCCGTGGGAGTCGACCAGTACTTACTGCAGTCGACGAAAACTTGGATCGATGCTCACGTGCGCGGTCGAATGTATTCGAATAAATTACTTGTATACGAATAAACGGTCCGTACATACTCGTATATAAATTACTTATGCATGAGTAAACGATCTATACGTAGAAACGAATAAATGCATAAACGATGATGGTATTATTATACGTGCGATGTGTACGACCGGTTTCGGATTAAGAATTCATCATAAAAACATTACAACCGTAATAATATTCCCGGCCATGAGCGTTTATTGATGTGTTTATTTCTACATATAAACTAATTACTTACATATCCATTGGCGAGCGTTGACCGTATACTGATTTTTATTGTATTTTTTTATCGCTTTACAAATTACTTGCGTGCGCCGTGTTTAACAACAATCGTTTTCGTTTCGGGTCGCAACCACCTTTTGATCGACGGCCAACGGCACATCATCGTCGCTTTGTCTGCGCCCATAATCCGACCGTGTTTGTGTACCGCTGCTTAAACCCCCGGCCGACTTAAGCCTTTGGATTACGTCGAATTAAAAGGTATTAGCGCGCGCGTTGTTGATTGCCGCACCGTGTTCGAACAATCATCGCGTGTGTCCGTCCACCGGTATTCAATTAGACGACGTGTACTTATTTCGAACGGTTAGCGCTGCGTTTACTCGACTGTAATAAGAGATAAACTTTTTTTCGGTACATATTAAATTAAAAAAAAAAACAAATGATCTGAAACTTATGAAGAAACGTACAAGAGCGTACTACTTACAAATACATGAGCACCGGCGATAATTTTTAAAAGTATTCGAATACAGACACGTGTTTTTAAAATCACCTAGAATACGTATTTGAATATTTCATAAAAAAAAAGTATTTATAATTTTACTTTCGAATACTTAAAAAAGATCCATAACACTGTTTAGCTTATAATCATAACAAAATATGTGATGGAGTTGAAATAAAATTTGTAAAAATAGTATTCGAGTTTAAATACAGATACCCTGGGAATGTAACATTCTCTGAGTACACGAAAAGTATTTGAATACTTTTATTACTCAAGTACTTTACAAGGCTGACTGGTGAGCATGTATGGTAGCAGAAATAAATGTTTCTAGACAAAGACTCGGATTCTTATAATTATTGTTTTGTTAAAAACTCTAAATATGTAATTAAACATAATTAAAACGGTTTAATTTGCAAAATTATATGTTATAATATCGAATGTTATTCGTTTTTATTTATTTATATTTTTAAATAATAGAATTTTAAGTATTATACTCAAGTACCTAGTTTGGTATAAAACCACCTGTAAAATCCAAAATTCAACGCATTCCTTGCTGAACTTATTACTTCGTCAATTATTAATTTTCGATTTGTTTTATTTGTATAACATCGTAGTACTAAGCTTGTCCCGTTTGAATACAAAATAAAATAGTGCCATAATAGGTATTTTTTCTTTATGCAATAATAATTTACATTTATAAATATTTATTAGTCACGTTTTGTTAAACATGTCATTATTTAAAATAGACGTTTTTCTTTTAAAAATGGCGTGTTGCAGAATATGTATTGGCTAAAAAAAAAAAAACATAAAATACATTTAAAAAACCTATTACTCTGTTGACGAAACGAGTTCGTGAATCCATGTTTCGTATGTAACACTCAGAAAAGTCATGATTCCTTTTATGAATAAATATACGTCCGAAAAAGTCGTACAGAAACACAACTCGCTCAATATCGGTACTTAATATTAACATTTTTACGCGTTACACTATTATCGTTATATAATACTCGTATTTAAAAAAATGTCAATTATAATACGTTTACTACGGGATGACGAAATACCACTGGACTATCGATTGTTTAGATCGACGCCAGAGAACTGAATGATACAACTGAACACATAATTTATTAAATATATATAAAAACAATACGAAAAACGGTTTCGCAACTTAGCCGATTCGGATTCACAAGGGCAAATGTCTGCGATTTATCTTGTGTTCCGTCAAGCCCTACGGTGCCGACGAACGACAACATTTTTACGGTATAATTCACGACGGCGGACTGAATATATTCTAATAAAATTGCTCTGAAAATTCAGAGCAGCACAATTTCGCGGGGCATTAAAACCGCAAACCGATTCGGACTCATAGGCGTGCGCAGACTTTGTCCGCAGGGGAGAGTGGTCTTAAAAAAAGTGAACCAAAGATTCTTGTACAAAAGATTACTAGTATAATTAAATATTTTAAATTTTATAAATTATTTATTTAATTCAATATGCAAATATAAAAAAAATACCATTTAAACTTACACAATTTATATCTAAGAAATCCTTATTTACATATTATTATACTATTTACAACTCCATCCTTCTGTCCACGAGAGTAAGGTTTTTGAATGTATCAATTACATCTTCAATTTTTATATTATATGCAAGTTCTGATTAGTTTGATTAATAACTAATAACTTTATTACATTTATTCACAGATATCAATTCTATACTATGAGATTAAAGCTGGCTTTACTTTATTCATGTAAAATGTAAAAATGTTCGCTATCTTGTATAGTATAGATATAGATTTATTAAAGAAAAAGCCAGAGTCCACAGTGCTCACACCTGTGTTCGGACTGACTATTTGATCACGACAAGCACCGTTCACGGTTAAATCTTCTTCGTGACGGTGCATTCGTCGCATTTGTTCGTGTTATAAACAACTCGATATCGTTCGTACTTGGTACGATTTCTTTTCCAGAACTCGGCGAACGGAGACATAAGTGGAATAATTATCAAGTGTCACCGCAGCTATTTGATGACCACTGCCGATCAGATAAATATTCTGTTGGATTCCGTGTCAGTTAATATGGATAAAGTAAAACAAAATGTTAAAAAAAAATTACAAAAAAATTAATCTTATCATAATATATATATATATATATAATTTAATGACGATGCTGCGTGAAGTAGGTAAGTCTCTCCGCCATTTTTCAGATAAGCTTAACTCTAATAAATTGCTATAATATAACTTTGAGAAGTAATAAAGTGAAAAAAAAACCTAGAATAAGAGCATTCATTTTTCTCCGCTTATATTATAACGAATGTTGATTAGCACATTATGAAATATAAATCGCACTCCGAGTATGATATTTAACTAAACGTATACTGCAGTTTTATGGGTGGTTAATGAAACTTTTTATTTTTTTGTTTCCTTTAAAATATTATGAGAAATCACTTCCAGAACAATGCTAAGAATAACGTAACAAGATGTTTTTTATTATGTAAGTATATAAAAATGAAATAAAAATTTTTAAAATAAACGAAATAAAATTAAGGTATATATAGGAATAATATTATTTCGAAAAAAATTGTTTTAAGTCTAAAAATGTAATTATTTTTCTATTAATTTAAAGAGTTTCTAAGATTTGTATAAAAATAAAAGTTATAAGTACGTTTATTTCATCCATAATAATGTCCATAATAGCTTTTTGTGTAATCCTTCATGTTTAATAATATTAATAAAATAATATCAAAAATTCTAAATTTATAAAACGAAATAAATGTAAAGCAAAAAGAATATTAAAACAAAAAAAAAACACATGTACATAAATATTGAATATATTACATTTGTGTAATGTAGTATAATATATTTGTTTACACAGTCCGATTATAAATTTTTTTTAATATCATCTAGTTTTTTTTAGTAGAACACACGCTATGCCCAATATTCGTGACGTGCATATCATATCATATATTGAACTTTAGAAGAAATTCGTTAAATCGTAATCGAAAATTAATTATCACATTACAAATCTAAATAAAAGTCAATTAAAATACGTACAAGTCGTAATTTACATATCATAATTTTATGGTACCGTGAATGCACACATGTGTGGTAGGGTTAACCATGTGTTCATCTGTGGTAAAAACATTATTCTTTATTGGTATTAATCTACAGGCACAGAGCACCAAGTACTGGTCAGTCTGCTTTGGACTCTTCCGATGACAACATAAACCTTGACGTAGAATCGCGTATTTTCACATTTGTAAGAGATCGTTCGGATAGTAATATTATGATCACGCGAGTTGATCGCATATAAGCCGGACGGATTAACGTTTTTATTTTACCATTTTATAGAGTTTGACGCTGTAAAGTGCGGAACAACAAACACAATCATCGGCCAATTTTTTTTGAAATCTTCATTTTTTTAGTTGTAAGTACCCATCAAACTAAAATAAATTGTATTTAAAAACTTTATTTGGAACAGAAAGTTAAACAGTTATTAAGTTTTGCTTTTTGTCAACGTTTCAATTCTATGAAACGTTTAGTATATTATTATTACATCATCTGGTCAGTTTATAAATAAAAAGCGTTTTACGCCATCAAAAAAAATCTCATACCTAAGTCTCTTAGCTGCAATAAAAATACTGAAAATACTAACTTATAATAATAACATATGGGAAAAAAATATTAATTATTAAATACTTAACGCACAGTATTTTAATATTAATAAATGTATACCTACATTTCAATATAATTATTTCTTTAGTTTATAGCTTTAATTTCTAGAAACAATTTCGACTGAATTGAGGTTTAAATCATTTTATTTTTATAAACCCATCCGGTTAGGTTTCTTTTGGTATTCTACCTAATTTAACTAACAAAATGGATAATAAAGTTGGGTTAAAAATATTTTTCTATACAAACCATAAGTCTTTATCAAATTTTATCCACATGGATACTTATTTTAAAACGTTCTATCCACTGGCCAATTGATATCATGAAACGATAAACATTAAAACATTTATATTGTGCTGCAGCAACAATAATGCACTAGGTAATAAATACATTTTTTATTTAAGTGTTTGCTAAGTACGCGGTAATAAATAAATAAGGATTTTTGTCAATCAAATGCAAACAAGATATACAAAAAACAAGTTTCTAAAACGCGGTTTATACTATGTAAATGTATCTTAAGCAAAATACAAATACGAACTGATGTGTCGCTGAAGGTAGAAAACACTGCGATTTCACTAACTAAAACCGCCTTTCGTGTGTAATGTTACCGCGTGTAGCTGTACAGCGCACAAACCAATTCGCTCTTTAGCCATTTGGATATTTTCCAATTTTTTTTTTCTTTTGTCAACACGGTTGTCAAACCGAATTGTTCGATTTGGCCTCACTACTTTATAGCCACGTAAACTAAAATATTACTGAGCTAAGGTCAGTACAAACCCGTTTTTAAGTATCATAAACGTTAGTTTAATGTCGACAAACTATACAGAACAGAATTATGTGCTCTCAGTGTTGACACTATCCAGCATGGAGAATTAATTGTTAGTTTTTTTTTTTTCGTAGAATTTCGCAGAAATAACTATTAATCGTCTTATACTGATAAAAAAACTAATAAGTTACGCGAACCATAACATGCTTACAGAAATCATTTTAATATATACATTTAGAAATCAGAAAATCGTAAATGGATTTCTAAACAAAAATATAAAAAAATGTTTTATTCAATTTTTGTTTTTTATTTTCAATTGCATAATTTTGAAACATCGTTATAATTATATAGTTATTCCGAACCAAAAAATTTAATTATCTATTAAACTATTAATATTTATGTTTGATATCGGTTGGCACACTTTAACTGTATAATAATGTAATATATTTTACACGAATTATATGAATGTTTATAATTTCAATATTTTTATATCAAATGAGTTTAGTATATTTATTTATTTTATTTTTTATGATCTTTAACCGCATCTATAAAATGCCATAAAAATACTTTATGTACTTAATATATTGAACAAATATATTGTTGTTTATGATAAAAACAAAATAAAATTAATCTTTATCAATAAATCAAATAAATATAATTTAGTTGTATGAAGCTATAACAAACTGTACTAAATTATATATAAGGCTGTAAAAATCAAAAAGTACAAATAGTAAAACACTAGTAAAAATTATGGTAATCGTAGAAGCAAAAACAACGATTATTTATAATCCAGTGGTAACCAATGATTATTAAATTTTGGTTACTAGATGGAAATGTTGAATTGTGTTTCGATGCCACATGGTGTACGATACAATATTACAGTTAGATAATTACTATATACAACTCATATTATCATTTTAGATGTGATTGCATTTCGATTGGCAATAACTGTAATGAATTATTACTAAAGTTTGATCATGATAGCAAGAGTTTGTCATGAATAGTAGTTGAGATAACAACGTTGACCTGAGATAACAGAGAGTAGAGATTTTAAAATAAATAATAAATCGAAAATTAAAAAACAGATTTTTGAAGCGTTTAATTAAATTTGTCAAAAATGTTAGTCGAAAATCAATCTAAATATGCATTGTTCATTGTAACTTGTATTAAAAAAAAAAAATCCTTCAACTATTATATATTACATTACATACTTACTTCATTTTTTTAATTATTCTATTATCATTCAAAGAGTATTAGCAGTGAAACCCTGTAATTCAAACTGAATATTTCCATATGACTTTTTAAACGACAAGGGTCATTAAATATTCGAAATGTATTTAATTTTCGGAGTATAATAATATTCAGAAAAAGGAGTAAATTTTACGTTGGTATATTTATAAATGTACATAAACGTACGTACTCGGGTGTGTATACGCGTATAGGATTAATAACAAGACGAATACGACGGTCATATTGGGTTAATAATACAGAAGTAAGTAAAAAAGTATTACTCAAGTGAGTCGATATAATCCAAATCGGTATACACTTAACATTTGAAGCTGGTTATATTCAGAAATACAATACGTTATAACCAAGGTCTCAGGAAAACAACAGCCCGGCATGTAGAATTTAAATACTATTTTCCATTTGTCGAACAAGTATATGGGACCTGACGAGTGTCGTCGAGTTAAATTGTTAAATCGCTGGCGACTGCAAATGGTAATGGTCGATTATTTCAGAAACGTGAAAAGAGGAGAGAACGTGTAATTGTTTCTGCTTGTAGAAAAATGTGATAAAAATAAAACAAAATAAAAATAACAATAATAACGATAATAATAATAATAATAATAATAAAGAAAAACTGATAAAATAAAATAAAAAGGAAAACGAAGTGTAGTTATGTATATATTATATGCGATAAAGAGAAAAAGAATGGAATACAGAGTGAGAGGGAGATTCGATCCAATCGTGATTCCGTTAGCGTTTTGTCTATTTCGTTATTCTTTTATTTTTTACTTACACATGCACAAATACGCATATTTATATATGTATGTGTATACTTACTTCGTTCGGGTTTTCGGGTCGTTTGCTTCACCCGACTCAAGTGGATGTTGTGTTAAGGGGACTACTCATGTCTGGCCGTCCGTGCCACCCCCCTCACCAGTCACCACGCACTACTTTTGTTGGTAATGTAATGTCATTAGGTATGCAAGTTGGGACGGAAAAAAAAATAAATATAAATGTAGAGTAAAAATAAAAGAAAACCTCCCCGAATGATCGTAAGAAGGTGATGACTTGTTCGTGGGATGTCTTTTGCACGGAGTCTCACGGACTAAGCGAAAAGGACGAGAGTGAGTGAGGGTGAAGAAGGAAATGAGAAGAAAGAAAGGGATTGGAAGGAAGAAGTAGCTTTCTGTGTATGTGTGTGATAGAAGGGGGATATATATTGGAGGAGAGGGGAAGAATATACAAGTCGCGTATACACTAAACTTATGTAAATTACTGAGGACTCGACAGTACAATTGAGGCGAAAAGCTTCTTGTTGTAGTCGGCGAGGCCAAATCGTTTGCTTTTTATTCTCAGTCCTTATTTTGTATATGCTACACGCAGCCATGACTTTCTATTTAATATGGTTTTTTCTTTCCTTACCACTTACTATAGCCCACAAGACGAAAAGTACAATTTTTTTTTTTTTTTTAATATATTGTTTTCCCCTGTATGTACATCCCGTTCTTTCAAACCACGGGCAAGTGTTTTAAATTGAATGGCAAGACAATTGTGTTTTAGTCCGATGCATATTCTATGACGTCAGATAATCTTAAAAATTCTACGAAATTGTCTACAAACTATATAAGTTTCGTGTAAAAATGTACAACGCAGTCCTCTATTTTCAATACCTATAAATACTCATACTCGTATATTATCATATCCGTAAACATTTGTAGGTACAAATCAATTTAAAATTTCAATTATAACCCATATTTATTTTATATCAGAGATTCTCAACCAGCGGTAAACGAAAAACTCACAGATGAAAAAAATTATAAAATAAGAAAAATTCTAAATTCTAAAACGTTAAATATCACTAAACCTCCGCATGTAATTTCAATTGGTAAGTACATGAAAACTTTCAAAACTTTTAAGTAGATACTGAGGTTCAAAATAAGATTGAGAACCTATGCCTCAGACTGGATTGTTGTAAGGTTTAAATAAACATTAAAACTCTTATAAAGTTATGAATAATTCATACATACCTATGTACTTTAAAATGTTGTGAATATGAACTGATACAGTTTTTAACTATAATTATATATGTATAATACATACATTAAACAGTTGAATGAAATAAGAAAATTTCTTTTCGATCACCGGCGTCGGACAAAAAAAGTATATCATCAACAAGTCTGCGGTTAAGATGCTAAAGACCCGAAAAATATTTCTGAAGCAAAATTTAAGACTTGAACACTAAACCGGCTTTTATTTATTGTTTGTTTTTAAGTAAAATAACAAATTTACCTGTTAAAAACTTGAATAAAGTCCAATCTGAATACATAAAAACGTTTACTTAAATATTTATACTTGTTTTTCTTAAGAAAGTTTCCCGGAGGATAGGAATTTAAAAAGTTCATTTAGTTAACTTTTTCAAACTCGTTTTATTACAGTTCAAGTATTTCATAATATCACATTTTCCATAAAGCGTTCCGCTAGAAAACACAAAACTTTAACAGGTAACAATTGTGTTAAAAATAAATTCATACACGTAAACGTCTTTTGTTCAGACAGATGAAAATAATAACGGTTGCAAAAACAATATTGCATGATTCAATAAGTAAAAAGGTTTTTCTTATTAATCTAAGATCGTGGATCGTTATGCCTATGGTTTTTAAATGTTTGCATCGTTAAAACAACTTAAAATATACTTCATTATTAATAATCAGAGCTCGGGAGTTAAAGCATTTGCTTATTTTTATGGATTGGCTTAAAATGTAGCAGAGTGCTATAAAAGTGTATGTCAAGTTAAACACGTACAATTATGAAATTTAAAAGTACCTTTTTTTTGCTTTTTTCAGCAATTTTTCAAAAAAAATGCTTATTTCTAGTTTTTCTAATTATTTTTGCTTATATGACCAGTTTTTTTTACGTTTTTATAGTTTTCTCCTGCAAAGTCGTTTTTGATAGAATTAAAATTTAAAAATAATTCTTATTTTATTTATGTTGTCACGTAGTTCGTCGCCATCCAAGCCATCGTTCTATGGTTAACAAAGATATTCTAATAATGAAAATAGAACTGAGTGTCAAACGTCAGAATGAAAAGAACAGAGAAAACCGTTTACATTTTATTTTTCAGAAAAATCCCTTAGAAAATCCATAAAATCATTAAAAGTGTAGATTTTTATTTTGTTTAATTTTTTAGTTATAATTTTATAGTTTTTTTTTTTTTTTGAATAATTATTTTTGCTTGATTTTAAATTGTTTTAAATGCTTATTTTAGTGGTTATAATGATGTTTTAAGCGCTTATTTTAATGATTTTAAGTGCTATAAGTCCCGAGCCCTGTTAATAATATACTAACTACGAAGTTTCTATGAACCAATATGGCGCATTGCTGTGCAAAAAATAATAATAATCTAACCTGACCAAATATTGCAAAATATGAAAACGAGAAAAATTCTTAAGTTATTTGTGGAAGCGCTTGGAACCCTTAGTGTGTAACGACTAAGTAATAACTATGTACTATTATTGCGTATCTTTTTTTTTTCAAATCAAGTGACTCCCATAACGAGTCACAAAACGTAAACTAGTTGTTTTTTCTAAATTAGTCCAACGCGTTGGGGATATTCACGTTGGTGAGATAATTGGATTATTAACAATATTTGCACCCAATGTTCGTGTTTCAAAACGGTTTGTTACAAGTGAAAAAAATATAATTAAGTGTGCGCTGTAAAACGAAAATCTAAATCGCATGAGATAGTATAATATTTCAAGGATTTTAACAGATAGGGCCTACGCACCTGACCGATAGTCGACGGGATTTTAACAGAGACATTTTTTCTCGTTGCAGGACGATGGTGGCCAATTCGTCGGCGGTGGATTTGGAACAGCGACGGGAACAGCAGCAGTACGATGCACGCGTGCAGTTCAACGAGGACGGCCGCAGGGACGTGACGGCCATGGGTTGGTGCGACGACAAGTTGCCGGCCACTGTGACCAATTTTGCGGCAGCAGTGGTGGCCGTGGCCATCGTGTGGTGCCTGTTGCGCGTGAACACCACTCCGGAACTGATGGCCATACCCGGTGGCAGCCTGGCGTCCATATTCGTGTTGTACGTGACCGGCACCGTGGCCGGTTGGCTGGTTGGCAAGCTCGGCGGCCTGCCGCCGCTTCTGGGCATGATGTTGGCCGGCATCTTTCTTCAGAACACCGGCCTGTACACCGTAACCGGGTGGTGCTTTCATCTGGTGTCCACTATGAGGTGAGCATCGGTGGTTAGCGAGCCGGGGCAGTGGTGGCGGCTGTCCGACCGTTTTCGACGGCATGAAGCACCGGAACTATGAGCTATAACTCAAATAATCGAGTCCAACAATTTCTAACAACTTCCCAACATCGTCTAATAAGTGTCGTCGGTTGTCGTTGTTGTTGGCGATTTCGAACTTAAGTGTGGCGCTGGCATGAAATTGATACCGCAAACGTATAACTGCTATAATACCCAACAAGTTCTAGCAACTCTCTAATGACGTAGAACAATAATTATTCCTCGACGAGGAATTATTAGAGTTATTTAAGCTAAACTTGTTACGAGATGTGTGCCAGTTGTGCCCAGGTGGATATCCAAATCCGTTTTCGAGGAGCTCGGTTCTTTAGCACTTTTTTATTTGAGCTCGAATTTATAAACGCGACCACCAAACGTTTTAAATATCGGAATCGTAAACATTTTTTTTTAGAAAATTCGAGAAAAAATTAGAAGGATCAAGTCCTTGCGCAAGTTCCCCATCTGGATAACCACCTGTCCACAATTCACAGAAAGCACGAAATAAAAACCTAAAATGTAACATGGGAACTTTGAAGTCGGAAAAACTCTTCTTTTATTTTTTGCTGTACATTAACGTTACATTTAAATAATGTTTTCATTGGTGCGTCCTTATGTTTAATATCATTATAGGTATGTATGCGCAGTGTACATTGTACACGTGTCTCGGCTAGTTTAAGATTGGTAGAACGTTTAACGTATTTTCACAGTTTGATTTTATATACGGATTTAATACATAATACGTGTAATGCAACAATAATATTTGCTAACCGAATTCGGTTTGTCACAGAGAAGCCGCACTAACCGTGATCTTGATTAAAGGCGGCCTGGAGCTGAACGCGGGCCAGTTGCGCCAACTCAGCAGTGTCGTGGCCAAACTCACATTGTTGCCGTGCATAGCCGAAGCCGTGGCCGCGGGTGTGGCCGCGCACTTCATCTTGCCAAATTTCTCATTGGTATGGGGTCTAACTCTCGGGTGAGTACATTATAAAAAACTACCATTACTAAATGTCTGTACGCTTAGACTTAAGTTTTTTAGGCACAAAAAAAAAAAAAAAATGAAAATTAACGTTTAAAAAATTCGCTCGAACAAGAACGTACTAAATAAATCCCGTTCTCCTTAAATGTGTGGAACTAACGGACAAAAGTAGCATAAAAGAACTTGTACAAATGAATTACTTCGAACTGCATTTTGATGCTGTACCATAACATCGTAACGCTTTACGAGTAAAATTAGACGTACGATATTGTTTTACCATGGATCGTGATACTCGTGCGACGGGTGGTACGCGTTTTTACATTATTTTCCGCCTTTTAATCGTATTGCTCCATCATATAGTCCTACAAGATTTATATCAGCCGAGGGGAAATTAAAATCGTTGACGGTGCGTTCCACGCGTAAATGGAAGTAGAAAAGAGAAGCAGATTATTTGGATTTAATAATAAAAAAAAAAAAAAACTCGATGCCTCCCTTGGCATTACGAATAAAACGACTTAAGAATACGAAAAAAAAAAAAAAAAAAAAATACTTCATTTAACAAAATAAAATATTCCGATTTACAAATTACATTTTTTCTAACTATATGATGCCTGAGGATCTGATACTGTTAGTGGAACGCTACGCCAAAGATATTGTGAATACAAAATGCGAGACGATCGTTTAGTGTTCCTAATACGTTTAAAAAATAATACGGTCATGTTTACTATAATATATGAAAGGCGTCGGATATCGTTTCGTACGTTGTCAAACACACCATATAATACGTTCGTACCGAAGTACACGATACGCAATAAAATTGTATACGTATTACTCACGCGTGGTTTATACTTTATGTTATGACCCGAAGACTATTTGAAACGACTATTAGACAATAATTCTGTTTATAAGATGAATTTATCGTTGCACTTAATTATAACTATTGATTATCATGTAATCACAATAAATTAATATTATTATTAAGTCCAAAATATTTACTATTAGTATTATTTACGTTAATATTTAGAAGAGCGTTGATTTATTATTAAATTGTTATTGTTATTCACTTAGACTTATAAACTTAAATTCATTTTTTTTTTTTTTTTTTATATATTTTTTTAAATTAATTATGGTGAACGACTTTTTATTTTTTTATGTTAATTTAAAGGTTCACATTGTCAGCCGTTAGCCCTGCTGTATTAGTACCTAGTGTGTTCCGACTAAAGCGATTGGGTTACGGCGAAGCAAAAGGCATAAACACTCTGTTGATCGCTGCTTCCAGTCTAGACGACACCGTGTCCATCAGCGCCTTCGGTGTATTATTAGGTGTCCTGTTTTCGACTGGTACGTATTCAGTTTACAATACACACCGTACGGCTATCATTAAAAAATGTCACCTTGATCTTAGTTTCCAGGTTGTTTAAAATCAACTTGCATCGTTTCATAGATATTTCACTTCTTTAGGTTTTTTTAATTTTTGCGCACCGCGAACATTATTGTATACAATATATTCATGCGTGTAAAAAAAAAAAAAAATGTATCGATTGAACAACGGTTTGTAATTCGCTTTAATTGATGTATTTTGTAACAGGTAGCTTGACGAGCAAGATAGTACAAGGGCCAATAGACGTGTCTATAGGAATCGCGTTGGGACTCGTTTGGGGTTTCATTTTGATTTACATGCCTCCTTCGCCGTGGGCGATGATATACAGCAAACAAGGGAGCGAAGAGAGAAACGCCAAAAAATCACAAGTATATTAACAGTGTTAATACGTGCGACATTTTTTCCCCGACAGTAAAAAAAAAAAACCCAATAAGTAAACGTTATTCCGTCGTTATTATCGTCGTCGTATCGAAAACCCGTTGAAATCGAAAATCATGTTTTGGTCTGCGACACGCGCAAGTGATTCTTTCGACCGATTCTCCTCGGCGGTGGTGGTCTCAGCATAGGCGCAACTAGGGAGGTACTTGGGGGTGTTACAGCACCTCTAGGCTCTAATTTAGCGACCCCCTTCCCCAACAAATTAACAGTTGAAAAATTACATAAGATTAGTTTTTTTCTTATTTTATTTAGTTATTTTTATTTGATGTTTTTATCAAAAAGATTAATTGTTTATGGCAATTAGTTAATTGCATCATCGGAAATACTTGAAAAATATTCCACCAGTCATCGCAAGATAATACTAGTGTGAATATTATGTGTTATATATTGTATGATATTTTTTTAACTTGTGTATTTCTTAGTACCTTATGACCTAAATAAAATGATATAGGTTGGGCTTGTCAATATTTATAAATTAAAATATCAGTGTATGTATGTTGTTATGGTACATTTAGCGATCAAATTGAGATATGGTACTTGGAGGAGGGGGTGAGGGTTAGCGTGAGCTATGCGACTTCAGTACCCCCAATTACTGGGCTTTGGTTGCGCCTATGGATCTCGGGGAGGTTTCGGCTTGCAGATCGAATCTGACCGCAAGAGCTTTTGCTCGCGTCGTGCGCACGTCACCGCACGAACCTGAAAAATGTTTTCGAACCAAACCGATACGATGTCGAACACGGTACTACTGATAGCGAATGATTTTTTTTTTTTTTTTTTCCGTGAAAAAAAAATAGATCGAACGATCGGTGACGGCCAAGAGATCGTTTCTGCTGGGCGCCGGCGGTTTCCTCGCGGTCACCGGCAGCCAGTGGTGCGGGTTCCCGGGCGCCGGACCGCTGGCGTGCATCATATCGGCGTTCGTGGCCGCTACCGGCTGGAGGAACAGGCTGAAGACGCAGAAGCGCGACAACCCGACGATGTCGGCGGCCGAGGACGCGGACGGCACCGAAGACCCGGTGGTGAAGGTGTTCGAGTGCGCGTGGATCGGCCTGCAGCCGGTGCTGTTCGCGTTCATCGGCACCGATCTCAGGTCCGAACTGCTCCGGAACGGCAACACGGTGTTCCTGGGACTGGTCGTGCTCGCGTTCGGACTCGCGGTGCGTACGAACGTTGTTGCGAAGCGGTTCTCGACCGGTGCGCCGCGCGAAAAACGCCCGCCCGTTCGAGAACACCGACCGCGCGGACGGTCAAATGTCCATCGTTCGCGCGGATAAGACGGTCGCGCGTGCCGGGCGAACCGCGCGGTCCTGACCCGACCGGGGGGTGTCTTAGCGCGTAGCCAAAGTTTTCGTTGTTGTCCGAGTGGGCACGGGTGTGCCGCGAAAACTCGTGATGCACAACGGTGTGCCGTGACCGAGAAAAAAGAAAAAAAAAAAATGTTGAGAACCACTGTTTTAGTAAGCTGCGCGCCCGGCCCGGGAACGTCGGAGCGTTCGCACCTCGGACGGACCGAGAGCTATCGATTTCCCGATCGGCGATTTTTTCGGCGGTCGACGTCTAAACGTGGATCATCGTACCGTTCGTTCCCTGTCGGTGCACTTCTCTTCTTCCGCCTCCCTCCCGTCCGAGCCGTCCGACAGCATGTCCGAGCGTACCGGGATCGCGAGGTTGTGGATGATGTTTTCAACATTTCAACGGTTATAACACACAGGCGGTTCCAACCGTCGGCTGCGGTTTTCAAAATTTTTTTTTACTCTTTTCCGTTTTCGCGCGGATCAGTCGCGGGACCGGCCGATGACGACCGGAAACGTAACCGTTCGAAAACCATTGGGCGCGCGACAGATTATCGTCGAAGTAAAACGGAGAGGAGGAGTAAAAAAAAGTGTAAACGAACACACGCGTTACGACCGACGCGATGTAAACCAAACGGTCCGAGGGACCGAATGGACGTTTCGGTATTGATTTTTCGATTTGTTAACGCTCGACTGTGAAACGCACGCCGGCAGCGTACAACGAGCAATTACGATGGCGGAGCGCGGAAAACGGACGACGATCGTTGGCTTTTGACGGTTAACTCGGTACGCGCACGGAACGCGGCACGGGATCGGACCCGCCGCGACGATTAGTGAACGTATGTTTTCCACCGCGACTTTCCGCGTGCCGCCGAAACCGGTCGCGTCCAAACTCACGGCTAACGGTCGTTCGTCCGCGAAATATTCCGTCGGACGAGAACGACGCGAAACGGGTCGTCCCGGTGATCGATCAACGGTCGACGGCACTCGGACCTGTTGCGCCGCGACACTTTAGAACCTCGCGAATCGATTCGCACGGGGACGACAGGCGCTGATCGGTTGACGTTCGGCCCGGGGCCGGTGGGGTGACGCGGCCGCGCGCGTTCGACCGGCGAACGAACCGTTCGACGGATCTCGATCGTAACCGTTACGTGTCGCGCGCGATACGGGTACCGTTCGCCGTCCGTAAATCGGTTTCGTTTACGCGGTCACGTCCGGAAAGCCGTGGCCAAACGATGCCGTTAAGCTTTACGTCCGACGAAAACGAACAGCGGACGGGTAAAATATAAATCGCTATCGCGCGAACCCCCGCCCCGTCGGGGTTTTCGGAAATCGTTATCGAAATACACGTCCGGGGCGGCGAAACAGTTACGACGTGGAATACCAATAATAAGTTTTTCTTGTCTCCGTTCAACAGATTCGCCTGGTCGTCACGACCTGTTCGGTGCTGGGCGCGGGACTGAGTCGCAAAGAAATGCTGTTCGTCAACATCGCGTGGCTGCCCAAGGCCACGGTCCAGGTAAACGCGTTGTCCATAACCTTGCCACTAATCTTGGTTTAATAACTTTAGCTGAGCGCCGATGTTACTTTGGTAATCAATTGTTAAATGATTTACTGACTGGTGTTATTGATTCTCCTTCTTTACTCTTGCCCTAGTTGCGTTTAAAGTTCCACTGCGTTCCACCCGTTCTAATGCTATGTTTCATATACCCTTTAGTTCCACCAGTTACATGCAAAACGAACTTTTAAGACGTTTGATGTCGCACGCCAATACGGACCCCACCTTTAACTTTCTTGTTTTTTAATTTTACACACACTTATAATGTTATTCTATTGTTTATTTACTATCATCGTATAATAATTGTAATATCTTTTCTGCACATATATATATATATATTTATTATTTATAAAGGGCTCAGCCCGTAAATTCTTAATAAATAAATAACGATGGTCTATTCCGGATTCGCCGTCGAACACGTGACCCGGTCGCGAGTGGTTCATGGCTGCAGTGGCGTATTTACGGGGGGGGGGGGGGGCCAGGGGTACTGGACTCTCCCCAGAACCTCTCAAAAAAATAAACTAAAATTCTTACATGTTTGCGAAATTTGCTATGTTAAACATTCACAGGGAAGTTGAAATTACTGTTGATGAAGTAATAGAGGAATTGGCCAAAAAATCGAGACAACTGGAATTTATTTTATAACAATACTTTACAATATATAGGTACATATATACAGGGTGGGGCACTAAAATGGCCGATTTCCAAAGATAAATTTTCTCATTAGTTATTAAAATAAAAATTCTCTCTAAATATTATTAGTTGTAAGACATCATGCCATTTAGTAAACATGGAACAGTGGAGTGATGAACAACGTGCTTATGCGATAAAATCATTATACAAAAATAATGACAGTTACGTAGCTGCGCAGCGTTCATTTCGTCTTCAATTCAATCTTAAACGCCATGATTGGGCACCATCGGCAAGGCTATTTAAATATGGATAACCAACTTTGAAGACACGGGTTTAGCATTAAAAAATATATGCCCGTAAAAAAAAGCATTCATAAACATCATTGCTGTTAAGACCGCTCTCATAAGGAGTCCGAAATGTTCTGCACAAAACATATGTTTTTTTTAAAACTTGTTCAGTAGAAGTCTAGGTCGGATTTTACACAGCGACGTGTTTTTTTTCGTACAGGCTTCTTTTTTAATGTTGAACCCGACTCTTAAAAGTTGGTTACCCATATTTGAATAGCCATGCCGATAGTACTGAATCATGGCGTTCAAGATTAAAATGGAGACGAACAAATGAACGCTGTGCAGCTACGTAACCGTTATTATTTTTATAAAACAATTTTATTGCATAAGCACTTTGTTCAGCACTCCACTGTTCCATGTTTACTAAATGGCATGTTGTCTTGCAACTAATAATATTCAGAGAGAATTTTTACTTTAATTGCTACTGAGAAAATTTATCTTTGAAAATCGACCGTTTCAGTGCCCCACCCTGTATATATATAATATTACATAAGACTATACGATTATTACATTATATATTTAGTTCAACTTCCTCCAAAAACTGCACAAGGACGTAACTATTATAATATAATATATAGTTTAAATTAATTATGTATAGACTGTGGACCCCCCTCCAGAAAAAATTGAAAATACGCTACTGCGCGGCCGTGTAAACGGACCCGCAGCCGGATAGGGGCCGTGGGCGGACCACCGACCTCCGTCCAAATTTTCCAATACAAAATTGTTTTCATTCGATATAAAAAACATGCTCCAGCAGTACGATTTATCACGATTTCCATTGTTCCACGACATAGACGTATTTTCATCACATTTCAATTCTTTGTGTTCGTAGGTCAGAGGAGCTAAATCTTTAGTTCTTTTACAGTCGAATGTTGGATCTGTTCATGGTAGACGGTAATGTTCGATGAGAACTGGTGTCAAATAGTGACATCTATCGAATCTACGACTGTATCGTATCGTATACCGATAATCAAATACTCTTTTCGAGAATTTTTTTTCTTATAGTCGACATACGATTTCCTGCTTATTGAGTTTTAACCTAATATCAATGTTTAACAAAGTTGAAAATATCAAATTAGTTGTTAATGATTACAAAAATTACACCCTCTAAAATTTTACGCCCGGGGATGAATCCCCGTCTTCCACCTCCTAGTTCCGCCCCTGGGTATACATACATGGAAATAAAACGTTTATCACAACCGTTAAGCCAAGTAAATTTATTATGCAACATGGAAATAAATTCGTTATTGCCGCGGCAACGCGTTCGAATGGAAATCGATCTGCTCAGCGGTAACAGTAACTGCCCCCCGGCAAATTTAATCGAAATCGCTTTTTCAGAGCCGTCGAGTTCTGTGTAGTACCGTTGAAAATCGTGCGTTAGATTCGATCATCGTCACTATCCCACGGCCTTAGCGCTCCGCGTTACGTCTGTTCGAATTGAAAAATTGGTCCGCTTCACTTGGTTTTAAATTTTTTTTTCTTACCGAATTGATGGATATTTAATTATACGTTTGTTTTTACTTTTTTACTCAGGCTGCTCTGGCACCGGTAGCTTTGGACATAGCGAGAAATTTGGGAACGCCAGAAGACGTCGAATGTGCAACTCAATTGGTAACGATTGCCGTGATCTCTATTTTGCTGACCGCGCCGTTAGGCGCTTTTGGCATGCAGTTGTTTGGCCCCAGATTACTGCCCAAATCCAACGAACAGCAAGGATAACGTATATATTATATGAAAAACGATTTAGGCTTGGTTTTTTTTTTCCTGTAAATTCTATTCGTATTGATAGATGTTTAATCATCAAGTGTGACGTGTGTAATCCACTTCTAAACTTAACGTACTCTATGAAGTATAAATTAAACTATTTTTATACGAAATGTCTATGTAATTATTTTAAAAGTTAAAAATACAGTGGTAATCATTAAAAGTATGTTTACAAATACTTCTAACGATACCAATTGATGCGCACTTTTTCCTTTTTGCATATTACATTAGCCAGTGAGTACTACATTTAAATTAAACCATTGTTTTGTTTAACTATAGTGATAAAATATTTAATATGAATACATTTATTGGACAAATAATTAGTAGCTATTTACTTGATACTCAAAGGTTTTTAATTATTTACAAGTCCGTTTGAACACTAATATGTACCTATATTGTTCAAAGTAAAAGAAAAAATATGTATCCAAAGTATAAAGAAAGCTACTATAACTTTTAAGAACAAATTTCGATAAATTTAATCCACGATAAATTGGTTACTAAATGAAATTATTAAGATATAACAAAACAATATAATATGCAGTATTTTATTTTAAAGACAAGAGTGTATTTAAAATTTGTAATATTTATTTACAATTGGTAAATTTGGTAGCTTAACTAAGATAACAACAGCATGAAATTACGTGAAAAAGAAGGCTAGTGTAGAATATATGCGATAATATGTAGTTACGATGAATAAAATTGTTCGACGTTACGGAGATACGTATCCGTTGTCCGATTGACCAGCGAATGACATTGTATTATATTTATCGAACAATGATTAGTAATCAGTATAGTCCGGATTTATATGCATTGAAAACCAACCAAATATGTGATAAAAAATCTTTAACATGCACAAGTACATGCACTAATGTAATAAAATATGCATTAAAGAAAAAAAAAATATATACTCGAAATTCAGCAGAAAAAAAAATTTAGTTTTTAAACATTTAATTAAAATAATACATTTAAAATTATTTAACCCAACTGTAAATACTTTTTTCTTCTTAAATTTTAAGGAATTTACTAACCAAAATAATTTTGTAGGTAGGTAGTCTTCATTTATAAGAAAAAAAGAAATCATTTCATATCAAAAATATATTTAAAATGAAATTATCTTTCGTAAATGCACATTGTATTGTATGACAACATTTTTAGTTTTGTTTTCAAAAATCATTAATTGGTGTTTGTCGGTTAACAAATTTTTATGTCATGCAAATTGTCTTTCCACATTTAAAAAGTAAAAAGTGCGCATTTAAAAAATATATCATTTAATTTAAAGATAAATCCTCGCCGGTTTGAATTGATTCACTTCCACCATTTAAACATTTTAATATTTTAGTCTATCGTATTCATCATTGTTTGATTACACTTTTCTATAATTTTCATAAGCAGATAATACAACAGTGAGTAAATATTTCAAAAATATAAAAAAAAAAAATAAAACTAAAGAAACATCGAAATATTCACTATAAGATAAAATATGCAATTAAAAACGTGAAATAATTCCTTGAAATAATAATAAATGATCAAATATCTAAATATGCAATAATATGCTCTAAAAAAATTTTATTGTTTAAATCGTTATGTCATAAAACAAATGTTGTGCTAACTTAGCATATCATACGACCAACAAGAATAAATATGCAAATTCATATAAATACGCGCTGTAGTAATCAGTGAATAAAAAATGTTATAATGTAAGAAAAGCAAAAGTAACGATGAAAGCATAGAAATTATTTGTAATTGAAAACATGTTCAAAGATACGCAACTGGCCGGAATCAATGTTATAATTTACCTTAAGGGTGATAATACATTTTTAAATGCACGTGGGTAATATACAACATTTTTCACATGTCAGTCAAAAATGTTTGTAAAAAAATATTTCGTAATTCCATTATTATGAAAATTGAAAGAGAAAATATTAATAATGTTCACATTAAAAGTATTAGGTATACAAAATATTATATTCATCCAACATTCGAATAAGCATTTTTGTTTGATATAATTCTACATCTTATTTTTTTTTTTTTTTATACGGTAAACTTTCATTCGAACAATCATTGGAGTAGGTATCCAATTTTATCGAATTAAATATGAAAAAAAAAAAAAACTATCTCTGGTTTAATAAAGCATTACAAAAATAATGTTGTCAAAGAAATTTGTACTTAAAATGACTTCCATTTGTAGTACAATCACAAAGTATACTTATTTATTTTTTTTATATTGTACAACATTTCCTAATGATACATTTTACGAATTACAATTTATTTATAGTTTAAATATTTGAACAGCAATAATTTTACCAATAATGAGAAACAAACGGAGATTCTATACTAAACGTACCGTAAACAGGGCAGGGCGAGTAGGGCACACGTCCAGGGCCTTGTTTGGGTGTTTTTGTATTTTATGTTGCGTCATTGATTTTATAATACACAGACACTCTCTACTGTACAAAAATATTAAGTATGTTCATTATGTATACCAAATTTTATAATATGTTCTTATAAAACTTTAAAACTACTCTCTTACACTTCTAGTTTTGATTAATTGATTTTTATGTGTATGATTTTGGTAATTTAATAATTCATTGACCAATTAAGTTAGAGTGACAGGTTACTTTCGTTCTTCAGAGGTGGCTCGTCAGGTGTTTTATTTATTATTAATAAAGGCCATAAAATCTAAAACCTGTTTACAGTTATTTCGATGGACATATTATTCGAACAACCATCGTCGATTCAGTGAAACTTCCGTCCGTTATCGTTGGGTGGACGGAGAGTGAATAAGTCGCGCATTGGTATTATAATAGGCACCGTTGAAACTCGGCTTACGACAGTATACGTACGAGTATGTCGTTGGTCACTGTGCGCCGCGCCGTCATAATTTATTACATTTTAATAATATTGTAGACGCTGATTAAAGTCTCGCCAGAATATTTACTTATGAGCTATTAGGTTAGGTTAGGTTAGTTAGTTAATGACGATTTAATTAAAGATAACAATATTAATAAAATAACATTTTTATTAATTGAAGAACTTTTGGTAGTTCTATTTAGATCACATTTTTACCATCTGTAAACGTCTCTATAGTTTTTATGTAAATACTCAACAATTCGATCTCAAACATTTATCTAATTTATAATTATTTACTGATTTGAAATTATACTGATCGATAAACGTTTTACATTACTGAAGTAAATTAAAATAATAGGTAACTCGTATATTTTTCTTTTTACGCTGAGTTATCGAATAATTCACATAATTCAACCATAATAATCAATTATTAAATTGTACAACTAACGAAAAACTTATTGGTTTTATCATTACGTGTTTATTTATTTTGTTGTTTATATTCATTAATTTTCTAGATTGTAAACGTGTTCCGAATCGTTCATGTAACGCACATACTATGTGATCGATTGAAAAATTGGTTTTAGGTTAATAAATTATGCAAACAGAATTATGCTAAAGAATATCTTCTCCGATTCTAGTATATCCGACCAATATTTTAAGACTTATTAAGTTTATAGTTATTACAAATATTATACTTAGATTTTTTTTTTTTTTTTTTTAACGAAAAAAATATTCAAATTTTATTATAGTACGTTTCCAATAACGAAAAACACTTTTAAATTTTTTGTTATACAATTATATTATTTAAGCCTACTCGACTCAATAATTTTATTGTAATCGTTAAAAATTTATTTGCATTTACAATTGTTTCGGGCTCTAGTTTTTTCTAATACATCTGCGTTTGGTTCTTCTTTCATCAAGATTCAATATCGTATATACTATTACATTAATGCAGTTGGATCACATTTATTGTCGTGTAGGCATCCACTATCCAATATTACACTGGTGATGTGAATTTATTATATGTTGATACGGTTTTACGGACGAATCGTGAACGATTTTTTTCTCCCGACGTTCGTTTCTGATACGTTGTAAGCTGCAGCGGCGCTCGCAGTCATCAGTACTTATGTACCACGTGCACACTGTATATTTGGTGACGGCAGAGACGTGAGTCCTTTCCATTTAATTGGAAATGAATCGTTGGTTTTTCTATTCCATCTACTGCAAGTGTTTAAGTGCAGCAGCTCGTGTGGTTTCAGATGATTGAATTTCTTCGCAAGAATACGATCCATCGTCGTCTAACCTCATACAAGCCCAGGCAGTGAATAGATAAGGTGGGTACGTCGGTTTAAATGGAAGGGATAAATGGAGGGGGGGTTCAAATGAATAGGTAATGGTGCGGTTAAAAAAATAGAATACCATCAACTCGGATACAATTCTGGTTCTCGCTCGCTATGCCGAAGAAAGGAGAACACGGTAATACGTCGAGGCGGGGAGAAGGAGTAATTTTCTTCATGAATGAAACCGCTAACGAGGATGAATGATTTAACCAATTTGTAAACGATGATTGCATTAGACATTTCTGCTCTCTCCGTTTCCTCCACTCTTCCCTGTTGTGCCTTCCTGTTCCTTGGGGAACATTGGTAATTATAACGCGTAAATAGATATACCTTTAGTCGTCCTATGTACGCATGAAGTGGATGTGAAAGGATGGCACGTGTGGGGCAGAGGAACTAGGGAGAAATATGACCTAAATGTTATTACAAAATCGCCAAATTACTCATATTCATCGTCTTATGTTCCATCGCATACCAAATTTCATTTGTACTTTCAGCAACGTGCCTTGCAGTTTATTAGGTATATATTATTCTCAAACACTGAATAATACGTTTTATTTATTCTAATGGCCCTAGAAACTGTTTGTTCAATTAAAAAGACAATTAGATAAAATTTTGATTTGTGTACAGTAAGTGCCTTTTTTTTTCCGCAACAGTACCATCGGATTCGATTTTATAAAAACATTAAAATATGTATATATTTCATCATAAAATAATTATTGTTTGCTTATAATGTTCAAGCAAAACTGAAAGTCGTAATATTTTCATTGATAATATTGTTATAATTAATTTTTTTTTTCTAATTATACTTAAGAAGTATTTCTCTTTAAAAATTAAGTTATTATGTGATCTATCATAAGTAGAAATATGTAAAAATATTTCTTGTATGTGTTTAATAAGGATTGAGTAAAATTAAATATCAGATATATCAATTAGTATTCATTAGGATTAATATTTTAAATTTATATGACAGTTGAAGGCTAATTGAAAATAAACAAAATTAACTATACAATATTC